TAACTTCAGTTGAGATAATGATCTTTAGCAGATAATTAAATTAATTTTTTTTCCAGGTAGTATCAAAGGGGCAGTTTGTGGCTGTAGGCAAACAAAAGTCAAGAATCTTCTCCTTAACACCAGAAAGTTCCTGGGCTCCAAAGGCCTGTATAATTGTGTACTATGTTGCAGATGATGGGGAAATTATAAATGATGTTCTAAAAATCCGTTCAGCTTGTTTTTAAAAATAAGGTAAGAGTTAATGTTTAAACTTTATTTTTATTTTTTGATCATTTTGAGATACGCTTTCCCTCTAGCAACAGCTGGCCTGGAATTATGCAGACCAGGCTGGCATTCTCACAGAGATCTGCCTGCCTCTGCCTCTTGAGTGCTGGGATTAAATGTGTGTGCCACCATGTCTGGTTTTTAACTTTATTATTGTTATTTTTTTTGTCTTTTCAAAACAGGATCTCCCTGTAGCCCCAGCTGGCCTGGAACTCACTTGTAGACCAGGACAGCCTCAAACTCACAGAATTCTTTGCCTCTGCCTCCCAAGTGCTGGGATTACAGGCATGCACCACCATGCCCGGCTTTTTAAACTTTATTTTAGTGAACTTTGAGAAATGTAATATTTCTTTACAAAAGCATCAGTAACCATATTGATTAGAAACTTTGAGAGCTATGGTTGTATGTCTTCCTACTCAGCAGATGTGCGTTTTCAAGTTAAACTCTGTGTTCTTATTTGTAAGATCTTGTTCTTGGCTTAAAGACTTTAACTCAAATCCATCAAGTCATTTCAGTGTTTTTCAAGTAGTTGAGTCAGTTTTGCTCTGGTGTGAAATTCCAGTAGCAACACGTAATTGTGTGGCCTTGGCCTAGGTGTAAGAGGGAGCCGGGTGTGGGGATGGAGTGAGGCCATTGGAGACCAGTGTGGAAGCTGAGGTGTATTGTGGTATATGTGCTTCATTGGCTGGAAGCTAACCTGGGACAGACATTCAGTGAGCCTGGATCCCTTGCTTGTGAGGATCTGTCCGGACTCTGGTCTCCAGGACACCAGTGCTTCTTAGGCTGAGTAACCAGCTTGCACAGAAATCCACCTCAGCCCCAACTCTGACAGGAAACCCAGTGGAATCAGCTCACAGTTACCAGAATGAGCAGTTGTTCTCACTAAAACCTGCTCCTCTGGCCTTCTTAACTAATAGAATCATTGTTTCAATGTAGCAGTTTGTGAAGTATAGTTCTACTATTTCATTACTCTGTAAAAATGTTGAGGAATAGTGTCAGTTATGTCTGCTTTCTTTTATTAAGAATTACTTATTTAAATTTTGTCTATGCTAGAGATTAAATCCTGGGCCTTGTGCCTACTGTGCAAATGTGCTGCCGCTGAGATGCACCTCAGTCCTGGGGAACCCTAACTTTGTCAAAGTATATTGTAAACTTCTATTTTTTAATCCTATGGAATTTTTTAAAGGAATAGCAATATGTTTTCTTAGTTTCAGGAAAAAATTTTCACTTTATAATAATCACCTAAAACGAATGTGAATTTTAGGAAGGAGTCATGGAGACTTTAACAAGAAAACGTACCTCTAAAAGTCCAGGCTGCAAAGCTAACCATTCAAACTCACTGACAGGGGAAGCAGAGTATATTAATGACATATTTTCAAGAAATTTCTTGGTTATATGAGATATAAAATTAATTTCAATTCCATCTGCAAAGGTAAATATTTTTTATAAAACAGTCTCACATTTTCAAAGAGACTGGATAAATGGGATAAATAGGAGGTGTTTAAAGCAAAAACTAGTGAAGAGTTCCTTAAGTGAAAACTGGTGATTGTTGACGTTCAGTGATGACTGTGGGATAAAAGGAATGATAAATGGAAGGACTTGGGGCTGGAGAGATGCTCAGCATTTAAGAGCTGCTCTTGCAGAGGACCTGGGTTAGATTCTCAGCACCCACATGGCAGCTAACAACCACCCGTAACTCCATTTCCAGGGGATCCATAGCCTTCTTCTGACCTCTGAAGGCATTGCATGACACAAGTGTGCTCACACTACTATAGCTCAGCTGCACTGAGGGAACATTAAGACAATCTTTGTCAGGCTGGACAATCAAGGGTGCATTTCATTATTAGGACTGAGCTAGATGAAATGTAAGTCCTCAGTAGCCTGACTTCCTCCATGACAGGTGTATGACTGCTAGTCTTCATGAAGTGTTGGTAAAACAGGCTTTGATGGAAGTAAGACAGATGAAGTTCAAGCAGCCATGGAGATAGAGTAGTGGGGCCTGATGAATGTTTGGTCTGATTGGTTCTAGAAAGAGCCCCTTTACCCACACCGTAGCTAGTTCTGTGAGGCCCCAGAGAGCTCATGTATGTGTTACTAAGTCAAGGTCACCAACTCAAAGATCACCTTTTCTTCCTCTTCGCTCTTGCTTCCCTTCTCTAGGAATGTTACACTGTTGCCTTGTGTTCAGCACTAGCTGATGACTGAGAATTAGGAACCAGAGAAAGGAAGGACAGGTAGAGAAGTGAAGCCTCAGTGTGTGGGAGTACTTCGAACAATTCCTTTCCTTGGAGAAGGGGTGTGTGTGGTTTTAGAATTATCCCTGGGTTGAGGCAAATGTAGAATCATTGGTGTTTGAGTCATTGATCTGCCGCTGGTAAGATATGGAAAAAGTTAAATTAATTCTGCCTTCTCCCTTTCTTAGATAAAACTATTTTGGAGTAAAGCGATTGCCAAGCCATCTGATAAAGTTTCTCTTAGGGTTTTGATAACACAGCCTGACTCCATAGTTGGGATCGTAGCCATTGACAAAAGTGTGAATTTGATGAATGCCTCAAATGATATTACGATGGAACATGTGAGTTTAGCTTTTTTTTTTTTACTTGTGAAAATGTGTGTTAAAAGAAAAAAATAGCTATTGCATTACTTAAGATAGTTAAAGGAAATTATTTCCTTTGAATGTATAAATCAGTAAAGAGGAAAGCCTTCAGAGAAAAAGAATTTGTGTTCTAGTGGTTGTGTTGGAGGGAAGTTTATGTGTTTAAATGTCTTCTGTGCCACAGAGAAAGACCACTGAAGTTAGATGGTAGGGATGATCCTCCTGAAGTTAGATGCGAGGGATGGTCCTTCTGAAGTTAGATGGGAGGAATGGTCCTTCTGAAGTTAAACAGGAGGGGTGCCCCTCCTGAAGGTAAGTGGGAGGGATGGTCTTCCTGAAGTTAGATGGAAGGGATGGTCCTGGAGCTCTGCTGTGTGATGGGGGATGAGTGTTAATAATGATGTGCTGTGTACATAAAAATGCAGAAATGATAGATTTTTAAATGATCTCACAACACAAAAATGGTAAAAAAATGAGGTGCTGTATGTATTATCTCAAATTAATCATTCCACAATGCTTAATATATCAGAACATTACATTAAAAATAATTTATTGAGAATTTCATACAGGGATATAAGCGTATAAGGTGTTTTGATCAAATCCATGCCCATGCCCTCCCCTCCAACTCCTTCCATATCTCCCTGTCACATTTTTCTGATAACTTCATGTGCTCCTTCTTCTTCTTTTTTCAAATGGGGCTTTTTGCCATTCTAACATTCCCCCTCTGAAGAAGTAACCCTAAAATCTTTTGAGGATTAGGTAAGAGCTCCCAAATACTTTTGACATTTTTGGCCTTTGGAATGGAGTATGTTGCTAAGAGGCCCAATGACATTTTGAGTTTTAGCCAAGAACCTGGCCACTTTTCTTTGGGGTCTTTTTACCCTAACTGCATAGCCAATTCCTACCTCTTATTCTTATCACACCAACCTCTGAAGAGATTACCCAGCTTGCGGATAGGGAATTGGGATGCACACCTCTCTGGTTTCTTTCATGCTGAACAGGGACACAGTGAGGCAATTGGGGTATCCTTTAAGTGGGTCTATCTAAAAGACTCCCAAATTGCATAACTCTTATCTGTAGGGGGAAAAGAAAGTCCTTGATTGGTGACTAGGAGATGTGAAGGAGAAGTAAAGGCAAGAGTAATTAGCATAACAAGTTCTAGAGAGGGAACTAGAAAAAAGTCAGAAAAGGGCAAATTTCAAATGTTCATATGAGAGTCCATTGGAATATCTTGATGAGGGCTTCCAAAAACATCCCTCTATTGGGTTCCTCCTCATTTGTCTTTTATCTGCTAAGGCTGGACTCAAGAGTGATGCATTCGGGATTTGCTTTCAGGCATTTTGATAGTTGTTGGAGTGGTTAGAATCAGTGTCAGTTCCCTCTCAAAGGCGTCTAGATAGGGGGTGAAAACAAATTTGGTCATCATTTTAGAACAATAGTGTATTGTCTCCTTAGGTACAGGTGGGCACTACAGTATTGGAGACCAAGACTTAACGTCTTACATCTGAGCAGCACTTTCTGATTCAGAACAAAATTATCAATGAGAGATAAATATCTAAATAACTTTTAAAAAATATTTATTTAATAACCACATAATTAGAAGAAGCATTTCATTACAACAGCATGACATATTCAATAACAATCTCCAGAGTTAAGATACATCTCTTTCAAAATTGGCTGTAAACTTTTAGGTTTACAGTTGAATTAATTCAGTTATACAATTTTGAACTCAGTATAAACCCCGTAGGACACAAAATTGAATAAGGTTTTAACCTTTAAAAAAGATCTCAATTTCTTCTTTAAAATACACA